AAATCCCTCACTGCTCTCGACTAAATGTTTTGTTGAATAACTTTAATGTTAATTTACAGTTTATTCAATTTCTGTAGCCTATTTAAAACACGTTCATATTTTAGAAAATGTAGTTAATATTTGCATCATTAATGATTTATCTTATCCACCCGCAAATAATCAGAATGCATTTTTTATAAATGCATATAATCGCCATCCGCGCATCACTAGTATACGGTAAAGTGGACATAATACAGTATAACAGGTTTAATAACATTCTTTTTCCTGTAACAAAAAGTATTGAACATTTAAATACATTACAGCAATACACAAAAATGTTAAAGTAAACAAATGTTCACAAATCAGAAAAGTATTTTTAAAATGGTTTTAAAAATCTGAATAATTTGTAATAATTATTCACGGTATTATGAAGTGCTCACGATAACAATACCGTGCATGTTCATTATCGTGATATATCGTATTACCGAATACCAGCACGCCTAATATACACACACTACATTAATGAGAATCAAAAATTAAATATATAGATAGAAAATAAAATTAAATATTTAATAAAGGATTTTATATATATATATATATATATATATATATATATATATATATATATATATATATATATATATATATATATATATAAATTTTTTTTGCATAATGCTAATGAGAATTGTGGGCAATGCGCTCACCTTCTGCTGCTGTGTGGCCTCCAGCACTTCTTTGGTCCGCAGCACGAGCTGCTCTTTATCTTTGATCTCCTGCTCAAAGACGGCCACTCGCATCTGCAGCTGGTTGACGAGACGTTCTTTCTCGTGGCATTCGGTGTCGAGGGTGCTGTTCTCTCTCCTCAACGACAGAACCTGCTGCTTTGACCTCTGACACTCCTGGACAAAGACACAAAGTTAAAACATCAGATGTTCCTTTTGATTTCCAGACCACATCCTTCTGGATAAATCTCACACCTCTTCCAGGCTGGCCAGTTTGGCTTTAAGGTCTCGAATGGTGGAGTCGCTCTTGTATTTCTTGTCAATGAGCTCCCTGTTGGCCGTTTCCAGCTCAGAGGCTTTGGTTTGGAGCTGCTGGGTGCTTCTGTGATGAGATGACTCAAGTTCCTGCCGCAGCTGTTCGTTCTGCTGCTGCAGACGAGCTTGTATCTATTAAATACAGTAAATGAAATAAGATTTTAGAACTTTAGCTTTCTGGGCCTGATATTTTTTAGTTGGTTCACAAAAATGTTTTATTCATTTATTAACTAGAAATTAATAAAAAAAATAACTAAAAAATAAAACAAATAAAAGAAATATAAGTAAAAACAAACAAAAATATAAATACATAAAAATCAAAAGAAAAATTTGATAAAGCTAAAAATAAAATGAATAGAACTATGAAAAATGTAATAAAATGATACATTTAAATATAAATAACTAACAAAAAAAAAATAAAAGATAAAGCAAATAAATATAAATAAAAATAAGAAAATAAAAACTATATAAAGATATAAATATAAAGTAAAAAATAAAAAGATAGATAAGCAAATATAAATATATAAAATAAATAACCAAATGAATTAACTAATTTATTATTAACTTATTTAATTGTTTAAATACTTGAACATTTCTAGAAAATTTCTAATGAATTCAACACTGAAATGCACGTTAGGTTACCTCCAGAGCTTTTTCACGCTCAGCTGTGAAATCTTGCATGTGTCTGCTGGACAGAGAGGTCGTTTGAGATGTCCATTCAGATCGGAGCTTGTCCAATTCTCGACTTTTCTCAGACAGTGTCTAGAGGATGAACCAATTGGATGAAGTGATTATTTTCATATATATATATACACAATATTGTGCAAAAGGCAAATTAGTATGGTCTAAAAAAGAACCAAAAAGAAAGGTTAAGTCATTTAAAAAGGTTTAAGTCTGTTATTTCTATCTTTTGCAGTAGTGTGCCAGTAGAAAATATCAGTTTACATTTGCAATAGGGCTGGGAGATATGGGAAAAAAAATAAAACCTTGATTTTTTTCAGAACGTTTGACTTCTCGACTTTTCTCAGACAGTGTCTAGAGGATGAACCAATTGGATGAAGTGATTATTTTCATATATATATATATATATATATACACACACAATATTGTGCAAAAGGCAAATTAGTATTGTCACCAAAAAGAAAGGTTAAGTCATTTAAAAAGGTTTAAGTCTGTTATTTCTATCTTTTGCAGTAGTGTGCCAGTAGAAAATATCAGTTTACATTTCCAATAGGGCTGGGAGATATGGGAAAGGTTTAAGTCTGTTATTTCTATCTTTTGCAGTAGTGTGCCAGTAGAAAATATCAGTTTACATTTGCAATAGGGCTGGGAGATATGGGAAAAAAAATAAAACCTTGATTTTTTTCAGAACGTTTGACCAATTCTTGATTTTTTCACGCAGACTTATAAGTGCATTACTGCGACCTCAAGCGCATTCTGTGTGAATGGCACCTTCTGGTCCTTCACAGAGGTGAGTGGTTAATCACGTGCGCCGACATGCGGTCGGATCATTCTTTTCTCTTTATTGTTAACATTGGCATATTGTCAAAGTGTCTAATTCTAACGTTTGGTAATATTTCTATTCAAAAATCGTGATTCCTCGATTTATAAAAAATAAAATCGTGGCAAAACATTACATTCAAATTAATCTATAAAATCGGAAAAATCGCCTAATTTCCAAACATTCCTTTTGCCATTAATTGTAATAATCCAGTGAGATTTTTGTTTGCTCGAGCAGTCTGACAGCAGCCAGTGCTCCACACAGAGATCTGATCTCATCATCATCCAGTCCGTCTGGAATGACGTGAAGAAACTGAGACAGACTAAATCCAGAAGAACTGTGGCAACGTCTCCAAGAAGCTTCAAGAAACCTTCTACCTGACAAAAACTATGCACAAGTGTACAGAGGACAAAAGCTTTTGTAAATGCAAAGGTTGGTCACACCAAATGTTGGTTTGTTTTAATTAATAGAAGTTAATTGAAAATCTATTTATGGCATTATAAATGTAAAGAAAGAAAATCTATTCATGACATTATATTTGAAAGCATCCTCAATTTACAGCATGTTCACACAAGTGCCTAAAACTTTTCACAGTACTGTAGCTTTGCAGGAAGGTTTCTTGAAGCGTCTTGGAGACGTTGCCTCAGTTTTTGTGGATTTAGTCTGCCTCAGTTTTTTCTGTTTCTTCATGTCATTCCAGACAGACTTGGAAGATGATGAGATCTGGGACCGTATTCACGAAATATCTTAAGAATCTTAAAAATAATGGGCAGTCAGTCCTAATTTTAGGACCCTAAATTTTTGCTCTAGAAGTATTTAATAAAGGGTTTTAATGCTAAAATCATTATACAATCATTATAAATCTCTGACAGAGACCATCAGCCTCTAAAACCAATTTTTGGGTGAAGATACTAATGGTTAAAACACTTTTGCACGGTAGTGTGTGTTATATATATATATATATATATATATATATATATATATATATATATATATATATATATATATATATATACACACACACACACACACACACACACACACACACACACACACACATCTTGAATCTTGAATGTGACTTACTTGCTGCGCATAATTTAGCTGTCTTGTCAGATCTTCCTCAGTCTTTCTCAACTTCTGTTCCAACTGCTGCTTTTCCTCCTGTAAAAAAACAAAGATGTATTAAAGATTCATTCATTAAAAACAAGTAGAATTAAAACATATTATATATTCCCTTTGTAGTCCCAAGTCTGTGATGATGAGCTTCACCTTTACAGTGGACAGACATGTGGCCAGATACTTCTTAATATCCGTATCAGATCCCGGCAGCAGTTTCAGAGAGAGATGCGTGAGGTGTTTAAAAGCGTTCGTCTCCACAATGTTAAGGTCTGAAGGACTGCGATCGAACGCTGACGAAGCTGATGTGAGCTGCAACAGAAACCTGAACACAAACAGACAGAAACGGTTCTCACGACCAATACCCATTAACAGGAGATATAACAGCAATAATATCCAGACAATCTCTCACCGTGGGTTTCCTTTGTCCTGTTCAGAGATGCACTGCTCAAGCAAGTCTATAAATTTCTGTGGGAATGATGTGAAGTCTATTAAAAGCCCTTGTTGTACTTTTAAGCTGTGAAGGAAAGCGAAAATGATTATTACGCTGAAAAGTGCACATTTAAGTAAAATATTATGATCAATATTATACAAAAAAGGCATGGTCAGATCACAATACCTCTGAAAATCTTCCTCTGATATGACAAGGTTGTATAAAAAGTAAAAATCAGAATCATCCGTCAGCCGTACAACCAAATCCTGTTGATAAAAACAAAAAGAAAGTCAAAACAGCACAAAAACATTCGTTAAATACATAACTAATGCCGTATAAATGATAATTTCTCACCTTTCTATGGACAGGATTTGATGATGCTTGTAGTTCAATACTGATACGAATGACTGAACGTCTGTAATTAAAATAACATCATAAATAATCACATTTAGACCATTACTAGCCTCCAAAAACAAAACACTGTAACATATAAAACAATTAATGAATTAATATGCCCAAAACACACATTTAGGTCATATTTATGTTTGAAATACATACATATATACAACCGCTTTTACCTCTCATCGGTATCTCTATTCTTCACAAGCACCTGTAACCTCTTGTTAAAAAGTAATTCCGTCATTTCGAGTTCGTATAATAATTCCCAAAGCGATATTAATCATAAAAATCGCTGTTTATTCGAGTTTTTGACGCTGGTGAATGAATCATTTGCTGATTTGTTTTCTCGCGCTTCGCTCCCGCGTTTGTCCGTTTCTCACCGGATGTACCGAACGCCTCAACCTAATCACGCGTATGATCTTATTTCAGCATGTTTGTGTTTTTAACAATATTTAAAAGAAATATAAAGCTTTAAAATCGCGTTTAAGATCTATCTGTGCGTGTTTAAGGATAATACAATTAAATATATTTTTCTGTCAGGGTTCACCGGCGCGTGTTGTGATTGGTCGAGAGGCAGGCGTCAAACGTCAACGCAGAGTGGGCGGGGCGTACAGGAGTTTTGAACATGGCGGTGAGTAGCGCAAAGGTTTCCTCACCGTTCACTTTATAAACGCTTCTATGAACGCATGGCGTTTACAAACAAATAAACACGCAAATGTTTTGTGGGCTCTTAAATCTCAAATTTTCCACACTAGGGCCTGCTGGTTATTGTAATATTGTGATATATTGTGTTGTGTATTATTGCGCTAAGCTACATTGCCTGATATATTATACAGGCCTGTAATATATTGTATAATCCATAATCTTGATTTTCAGGATAAAGAGAAGAAAAAGAAGGAGAGTATTTTTGATTTGTCGAAATACATCGACAAACATATAAGAGTAAAGTTCCAAGGAGGTCGTGAAGGTGAGACAGTTGCTTTATAATTAATAAATAATAAAATTTAAATAATATTATAACATTATATTATGCTTAATTAAATGACATTGAATTTAACATTCATTGTTTCCTATTTTCAGCAAGTGGAGTTTTAAAAGGCTTCGACCCGCTGTTGAATCTTGTGTTGGATGGCACCATTGAATACATGCGAGGTAACATCTCCAGACCGATTGTAAAATTAATAAAAAAAAATAAGATATTTCATTTTGAAATGCATTTTTAGTTTTTTTTTATTTATCTTATGTTTTATTTTAATTCTAAGTTATTTTTTTTATTCTAATCAAACGGTTAATATGATTAAAGTTTTTATATTTGTATTTATTTTAATACATATTTTTTGCATTTTTATTCAGAATCGTTGTGCGTGATTCCTCATCACATCCTTTTTACGCAGATCCTGATGATCAGTATAAGCTGACCGAAGACACCAGGCAGCTCGGTCTGGTTGTGTGTCGAGGGACGTCCGTTGTGCTGATCTGTCCACAGGACGGGATGGAGGCCATTCCGAACCCTTTCATTCAACAGCAGGATGGATAATATTCAGCTGTGCTTTTTTCTTCTTCTTGCATTGTGTAGATGTCTGGTGAAGAAAATACATGGTTTTTGTTAGGTCTGAAATCATGAAAAATACATTTTGTATTTAGACTCAGGATAAGTGTTTTTGGTTGGTTTTGTTTCTGTTGTTTATGAAACTCACATTTGTTTGTGTGGTTTGAATTATAAGGCATGTTTTCTGTTCATGAAAATGGGTGCGTAATGTTGCCCTGGTTCTTTAAGTGTCGTTTCATTCATTTGGACATTAATAAACATCTGGGATGTAACATTTCTAAATTAAGCAAAAACAAAGATGCCTGTACCTCGAAGGGGGTGGATCCCACAGGATTACCTTTTCAGAAGGCTTTTGTACACACACAAACAGTCGGGACGTTTAGGAAGCTTTCAGAGAACGTCTTTGTATAATCTAAATGGAAACTGTATTTTGAAGGTCTTCGGTTCTGAGAAGCCTTGAGAAAACATCTGTGTTTACTTTTGTGGTGTTGTCTCTGTTTTACACTCACAAAACCAATTACTAAGATTAAAGACTCCGTTATGGACCCTTGCCTGTTTGGGAGAATGCTTTTCCTACTTTTGTTGAGAACATACATTTTATAAAGGAATTTTAAACCCAAACGTGAACGTTTACACACCCTCGGGCCATCCAAGATGTAGATGAGTGTTTCTTTATCAGAACAGATTTGGAGAAATCACTTGCTCAGCAATGGATGCTCTGCAGTGAATGGGTGCCGTCAGAATGAGAGTCAAACAGCTGATAAAAACATCACAATAAGTCCATCAATTAACATTTTGTGTAGTGGAAAAACTGTTTAAGAAACAAATCCATCTTTATGATGTTTTAACTTTAAACCATCACTTCTTCCTCCAGTCAAAAAGTCCATCTCTTGTTGTCCTCTCGCATCAATATCCACCAACATAATTGTTTAGTTTCGGACAGTTTTTGCTTGTAAACAGTGCTCTTACATATTTCTCTCCTGATTCAGACAAGGTGACTTTTTCACTGAAGAAAGCATGGATAAAGGACTCGAATGTTACCTGGAAGCAACGGTTTGAAGTTAAAAACATCATGATGAATTTGTTTCTTACAAACTCAGTTTTTCTCTTCACAAGACATTAACTGATGGACTGGAGTGGTGTGGATTATTGTGATGTTTTATCAGCTGTTTGGACTCATTCTGACGGCACCCATTCACCACAGAGGATCCATTGGTGAACAAGTGATGTAAAGCTACATTTCTGCCAATCTGTTCTCATGAAGAAACAAACTCGTCTATATCTTAGATGATTTGAGGGTGAGTAAATGTTCTTTTTTGGGTGAACAGTTTCTTTAAAGTATAACAGCAGAACTACTCTCACATACACACAATCATGTTTTACTATAACTTTCACTAAAAGCTTGGAAACAAGGGTTTTTCTACCAAGAAGATAGTTTTTTGATGGATATTAGATTGAGATTAGCCATTCATGCTTCTTAGCACAGCCACAAAGCCCTGTTTGTAACCTTTCAGGATTGATTTTAGGTGGGAAACAACATGTACATCAATATACTAGTGAGATCCAGTATAGTTTCCACTCTGATATTAATGCAATACGTATGCGGTAATTGAGATTTGTTGGTTCCTGCATTTGTGATGGCAGTTTTCTAGCAGTTATGAATGAAAGACTCAGTGTGTCTTGCCTCACTGGTGCTCTTTTGAGCAGATTTTATCAGTGCGCACTGGCACCCAAGTCTGGGCTTTATTGGGTAACACAGTTATAGTGGTTCAGGGTCTGTTAACTGATGGCTAACTTTAGAGGGGTCTGTAAGAGGAGCTGCTGTCTGAAGCCACGCCAACTCTTAATACTATTCCAGGTCAGATGTCGTCTGAGGAGCGGTGCATTTTGCACAGCAGATTAAACCTATGAGGTAAAAAATTGAGAACTATATATACACGAAACTATAACAATATAATAAACAAAAAAAATCTAAATAAAGATGAACAGAAATTGAAAAATTTATTTGTCAGCTTAAATACATTACACAAGCTAATATATATATATATGGGAGAATATAGCAATATATAATAAAATAGAATAAGAAATATGAAAAATAGATAACATATAGACAGGTATACTAGAAGATAATAAAGAAAATATATATACAAAATATCACAAATATAAGAAACTATAAAACAAATCTTAATAAAAATGAACAGATACAAACAAAAAATTTAATTGGAGAAACAGATTTATCACCTAAAATACATTCTACAAGATGGGAAAATATATCAATATATAATAAAATAGAATATAAGAAAACAGGATATAAGTAATATAAAAAGATACAAAATAAAGACTTAAACCGGTACAAAAGAAGATGTAAACGAAAAATTACATAAAGCATTTTAGCCGCTTAGATGGATGGATGGATGGATGGTAGATAGATATATAGATAGACAGATAGATAGATAAACACTATTTGCAGTATAACCTTTTTTTTTTTTTACTATTTAACCCCTCCCAAGTACAACAGTCTATTGTTTCTTTAAACCCCTTAAAAGTCTCACAAAGACCAAATAACATTGTGAAAAATAATTGAGGATTTTGTTTAACACAATAGTTTTGTGTGGACGACACGAGATCCCGCCCTCACCTGTGCGAAGCCCCGCCCATTGGTGAGTCTAGCTAGCGCATAACAGGGCTGCATTCTATATAGTCTCCAAACGTATCGTGCGGTTTATTCGGACGTCAACGTAAAGCTCAGATGCCTCAGTGACCAGATGCTGTCTGAAACGGTGAGTAACGATCTATTTAACACTAGTTAACTAGTTATTCTTCACAGATGTATGTCAGAACTTTTAATTATGTTAAAAACGAGAATAATATTTGATTGCATTATGTAATTGTTTTATTTGTTGCATTATTTTTTATTATAGCTATTTTATATTTGGTACCATTGCATTATTATTATTATTATTTTGCCATTTAAGATTTAAATTTATAGTCAATGAGATGTTGTGACCTGAAATATTAAGTGTATGTTTGTTATATATTACATTTTTCTTCTTTAATTTCAAATATTTTATTTCCATTTTACTTTATTATATTTTACATTTAATTGGAATATATTGTCTTTCCAAGTTGTATGCCAAAAACTGCCATTTTATTTGATACTGTTGCTTTATTGTTGGCAAGCATGAAAATAAGTGTTTTAATTGGCATTTATCGTCAATACAACCTTTTGGGGGGGATTGTTTTGGCATTTACAAGCCTGAAGTGAAAAGTAATTATATCAATATATTCTGGAACATCAGGCTTCATATTTCTGTGCTGTAACATTTCCGACCTAATAGAGGTTTGTTTTGGCTTCTCGGAACCACTCCTAGTATTGTATCATTCTATGGCCGGTGAAATAATACTATGGCATCCCACGAGATGATTTGTATGTATTTCTTACCTCCATGTGTTTTACAGTTTGGAAAACACAAGGTTTTTTCCCGGTTGTGTTGCATGTCTTTGTATAGACTGAAATGGAGAAGAAAGACTTGAATAAGTGGCCCGAGGGTGATCCACGGCCAGCTTACCTCTCCACTTGCAAATGTATGACTTTAGCTGCCATATTGATTCTTCTCATCATTGGGGCTGCTGTGGGTTTTATGACAGGTAAACTCAATGTATCCTTTTTATAGTCATTTGTTCAAAGAATCAAAATATTTTTTGATACTGATGGAAACCAGCCTTGTTTTCCCTGTTTAGCTTACTTAATACAAGAGGAACATTATTTCATGGAGACAGTGGAATTGCAAGGGCTCAGTTATGATCCAGATCTGCGTGATAAAACATCAGGATTCTATGTAGTTCTGACTGCAACTCTGAAAGAAAAGGTACGACCAGAAGACATGAATATTAGTGTGCACGATTTATTCGTTTTTTCAAAACAATATGTCAAAAAGGGTTTTAACAAACTGAGGTCCGCAGCTGTCTTCACTATTTTACAGATCAGGAATATCTTTAGCAGCTCTGCAGTAGCAAGTCACTTTACTGACTGCCAGATAGTTGCATATGGGTAGGTACATTGCTTACATGCTATGTTTTAACATAAAATTTGCTGAAACTGTATACTCACCGTTAGACCATCTAACATGTAGATGAGTTTGTTTCTTCATCAGAACAGATTTGGAGAAATGTAGCATTACATCATTACACCAATGGATCTTCTGCAGTGAATGGGTGCTGTCAGAATAAGAGTCCAAATGGCTGATAAAAACATCATCAATCTGCCATCACAATTTAACTAGAGGAAGTGTTATTATACATTAGGGGCTCTTATTTTGTCCAGAGCGATGATTCAAAATTAAAAAGCTTTAATGATGATTTGTTTCCCACAAACACGCAGCTTTTCACTTCATAAGACATTAACTGATGGACTGGAGTGGTGTGGATTATTGTGATGTTTTTATCAGCTGTTTGGACTCTCATTCTGACGGCACCCATTCACTGCAGAGGATCCATTGGTGAGCAAGTGATGTAATGCTAAATATCTCCAAATCGGTTATGAAGAAGCAACTCATATAATCTTTGATGGCCTGAGGGTAAGTAAATTATCAGAAAATATTGGGGTGAAATATTCCTTTCATTGAATTATGGTATTTGATTAAGAGTCTGTGACATCTTTCAGGAATGCCAACACAAATGTTTTGACAACTCTACATTTGGTCTTCCGGATCTCTCAAGTCCAGGGGTTTACAGAGAGTTTTGTTCAAGACCTCCTCCGCACTGGATTGAAGGTGCCCATCGTTGTCCCAGATTATGGAGAAATCAGTAGCATCATCCTTCTTGGTATGCCAGTTTCCTATTTTTAAAAAAAATTCAATAATAGTGTAATTTTGTTATTATTTAAAAGCTGCTTGTGATGGGCTTTGGTTCATCATGTGACTTTCTCATCACCACCTGCATTTGGTGGTTATCAGTGTATTACAAAGGTACAAAACAGATTTCAGTACTTCAATAGGTTGGTATATTAACATTATATCAGTTAATGAAATGACGGTATTTAACTGTAAATTTAAGTTAAAACCGTAAAACCTAAAACGTCGCTACTGTATTTTTACGGTAAAATTCCGGCAACCACAGCTGCCTAATTTTACGGATTTTTTTTTTTTTACAGTGTAGCTGTTAGTTTCCTTCTTGTACGTTTAAGAACTCATTTTTGCCTTAAGTGAAGGACATTTGACATTTTAGTATCAAAAGAGTTTAAAGGAGTGGAACATGTATTTATAGTGGTACTTGTTAAGGCAAACAACACAATTACCAGGGGTTAGTGATTTGAACAAACCACAAATCCTTAACGTACATAATATTGCTAAAGATGTGAATGTTACCTCAAATTGTGAAGCATAATGAGACAATGTGTGCCATTAAGCTATCTATGGATTTCAGACTGATGGACAGCAATACTGGCAAAATAAATAAATCAAGACTTAACTATAAACCAACCAGAAAAACCTAGAAATCACATAAAATACCCTTGGAAATGCATAGAAACATGCTAACAGCACTAAAAATATATTAGCATCCAAAGAACCCTATGTGGTGGCGAGTTGCACACTCACATTGTCTTCAGAAAAATCTAGCTTATTTTATGTTCTTTGATTGTTAACCATTGTTTTTCTTATAGCCTGTGGAACACGTCCAGCCATGGCTAACCGTGTTGTGGGTGGTGAAAACGCCCGTCATGGGGAGCTTCCCTGGCAGGTCAGTCTCAGACTGCGTGGCCACCATACCTGTGGCGCATCCATCGTCAACAATCGCTGGCTCGTCAGTGCTGCCCATTGTTTTGAAATGTGAGGAATCTTTCTTGTAAAATCT